GTTGAAGCAAAGGGAATGTCCTCCTACAATCTTTATTTATGAACATTTATTGTCCGATATTCTAATTTATTTCCCAAAAAAATCTATTATATTTTGGCACAGACTAAGATAGAGATAAAATATAAAATGTACCTTTCTGAGTTGTTACAGTCTGGAAAGAAATGTTCTGCTTCTGTGTTAATGTAACTGGAAAAAATTGAAATAATCCTTATTAAATAATTAATATCTAAATATCCTATTTCCTATTCTTATAAAATGCTTAGAGGCACTTTCAATCATTAAGGTGAAAGTTCTATTACAACCGTTCAAAAATATACTTACAGGGAACAAGAGCTATTAATAATACTATTTTTAACACAGAGCCCACTAGGACAATGCAAATGACGGCCAGGATCTCAGCAGTGACCTTCGCTGGAGGTAACAGTGAAACTGCAGGGAGAGAAACAGAAACACTGAGAAAGGAGAGATGGAGACTGTTGATTAGAAGGTTTACGTACCAGACAACCCCCGTGTACAGGGAATCAAAGGGATAAATTCTTGTCTCTAAACCCACATCTACTGTGGTCATCTTTCTCTCAAAATACACTGTTGCATATTGAGTAAATATAATGCCCCAGGATTTGCTGATGAAGGTCCACAAGTTAACAGTTCTGAATAAAATTAGCCTTCAGATTCATGCTACAGTACCATATCCAAACTTTGAGCTCTCATCCTCACAAATGAAAAATATTCCCTCCTCTTTCCCACAATTCTACACCAAAATGGTATATCCCAGAACAGTTATATTGAGGATCTAGTAAATACTCACCTTTGTAGTAGCAGGTCTTCTCCTTTCCCTGGAGATCCAGAGGAGCATTTTGAAGGTTTAATTCCACGTGGGTTATTTCCTGTTCAGTTAATGAAACGGAGCTTTTACCGCCCTTAGATTTGCTTTGCTGCCTCTTTGGGTCCTTGGCCAGATTCAGTCCTGAGTAGGTCACTCTTTGGTTCTTCATCTCTGCAGCTGTGTGATTCAGGGACTGTGCTCTGTGATAACTGTACTTAAGAAGTTAATAAATGATTTATTTAATGATAAGATCCCTGGTGTAGTCAGACTGGGGTGTATTGGGGACTGAGTAATAACATTCATTTTGCAGGTGAACAATGTAAAAGTCTAATACTAATTTCCTTAAATTTTATACAAAGTCTTATAATGGCCAGCAACCATAAAAAAATGCTCAACATCTCTAATCATTAGAGAAATGCAAATCAAAACCACAATGAGGTATCACCTAACCCCGGTGAGATTGGCCTCTATCA